CTAACGGTGAGGATGCTGCAGGCCTGAAACGTGTATTGCTTCTCTTAGAGACTAAAGTACGAGTCCTTTTTCCGGACTGTGCTGATGACTCCATCAGACCTAAAAATTTCTTAGATCGTTCCTGTTCAACACGCTCTCTACCAGAAGCTAAAACCTCCACCTCTTCAGTATCTTTGGCTCTGCCCACCAGCACATCAAATATCTCATCCTGATGGGTTACAACTTGCCTACGCAGCTCGTATCTGAGTCCAATGGCAAATTTACGACATCGATCTCTCTTAGTAGGTACCATACTGAATCTATACTTCAGCATTTTCAAGAACTCGATCTCATACTCAGAAACAATCATGTCTCCCTAAACCAGGTCTTGAAACTGCTGATGTCTCTGAGCTAAGTAGCGCTCTCCCAGAAAACGACTCCGAAAGTGATCCTTAAAGAAATTCCAGGTCAAACGATCGGTAGGAACACTACTGGTCACTGACTCCCACCAAGTGTAGGCATTGCCATCTAACATCGCCACAACACCCTGATATCTCTTAGTTGAGTCTAAACCCAACTGATTCATGCGTCTCTCTGTATCCTGGAGCCAATCCTCAGCTTCAGTAGGATCCCCCAAAAGTTCTAACTCCATTGGCAATCAAAGTCTGCGAAATAGGAACCTCTGATACACCAATAGCTCTAACTGCTCTCTGTATCAACTGCAGAAATTGTCTACCAAAATTCTCATCCAAAGCAACTCCGGTAGACTCTGACTCAATATCGGTCGCTCTTATGATCGGTGTAGTCATGCCAATACCAGCGGCAGGAGGCAGATTCGTTGGGGTCGTAGGAGCAGGATCACCTATCGGAGGTGGGGGATCTACTCGTATCTCATCGATCGGGTCTGCAAATCTAGCCACTCGACCTCGTCCACGGCTAGTTCGACGACCACGTCTAGCACTCATTTTTTTGGTGGATCTTGAGTTTACTACAGGAGATAAAACTTAGGGTTAGACAAGCACTTGGAGTCTCGAACACAGTTAAAATCTTAATAACTTGTGACATGGCCTTAGTAACTTGTTTTGTAAAATATTTCTAAAACCGTATTTTCAATGTGGACTCATACACAGTCTGCAGTTTAAAAACCAAAAGCTCTGATACCAATGTATGTAACCCCCTAGACCCGGCCTATGCGTTTCGACTAAGTCTAGTGGATCACATTATGATTCTTAAAGACATTTTCTGAAACCGTTATTCAATCAATGTAAAATCACATTATAAATGTCATGAAATAAATTATACCATCAAAACCCAACTTGTAAATATAATACCAATAAGTAATAAATTAATTTAAAACAGGTCTTCAAAATCAAAATCACAATAAACCGAACAGTAATAGCAAAAGTGTCATCATCCTAAAAATACGATACTTTAAAATAAGGTCCATATCACCAAAATAAAGTCAACTAGCAAGATAAAACATTACAATCAGATATACTTCAAGAGATATGTTGATCCTCCAAGTGCTCGAACCGATGTATCTAACCAACAGTATCTGAAAGGGGGAAAATATTTTTGAAAGGTGAGCTAGGCTCAGTGTGTCCCAATATTACCTTAAAATCACAATAGGTACATTAAACAAATCATAGTCCAATAAATCTCATAAATTCATAAAAGAGTTTAACTTTTGAAAATCATAGTTTAAACTCTTTTCTTGTACACCATCAGTAATTTCCAAAACTATTTTCCATATAGCTTACTCTAAGCACACATAAAAAAGAAAGCCAACCTAAGGATAAGCTTTAGAGCTTGTATCCTTAAGCCCGTAAGTCCAAGTCCATATAGCCTACCCTAAGCACACAGCAAGGGTAGCCAACCTAATGTATCTTGGGGCCCCAAGAGTCACATTAGGTCCATTCTGTTTATTAGCTTGATCAGAGCTATACTATTGTAATTCAATCCAAAAGTTCAATTGCACCGTGACACAAATTCCATAAATCATCACATTAAATTGGTGCATCAATAAAACAGTAACCAAAGAACTCAGTGTACCTCATATCAAAACCAATAAAATAGTTCAGTAATAATTAGGGAACACACCTCGATAATAGGTTCAAATAGTAGATCTACTGATTGCTGGTTTCACCATGCTCTGCTACATTTTTCGAACCTATTTTATAATAACACTATATTACTTATAGGTAACATAAATAAATCTCTAAAATCATAAAATTTACGGGTCTTACGGGTGAATACTAAAACACGTGGTTTAATTGATCTAGAAGAGCTGGGTCGAGCTGTCGAACGATCCGGAGGGTCTCTTGTACCTTCAAACAATAATAATTTATCAGCCCCAAATCTTACTTAATTGTTCAAAGCTAAATTCTTAAGTATATAAGCATTTTTAGGGTTTGACTATCAATTTGGAGGATTTCAGGTTTGAATTTGGCCAAACGGATTGCGGAATCGAAATCAGGACGTCGAAAAACATAAAGTATGTCTTTTCGAAAATTTAAATTCTTGGTCAAAGTCAACCACTTTGACCGTCGATTTGGAGGCCTTCGGGTTCGAATTTGGTAAAACGGACTTCGGAAACGGATTCGGGACGTTGAAAACTATCAGAATAGGTATACTCGAAAAATATTTACGGTCGTTTAAGGGTCGGTCAAAGCCATTTAAGTTCTGGTCAAAGAAAGTCAACGGTCAACGGTCGTGTCGGGTCGGGTCAACGGTCGTGTCGGTCCGGTTCAGACCGGTCAAAACCGGTTCAAAACCTGTCAAACCGATTTTCCAACTGCTCACTCTCCCTGCGACGGCGCGTGTGGCGCATGAGACGTCCTTCGGGGCTCTAAAAATCACGGAAAATTTTCTACAAATTATTTTGAGCGATTTCGAGATACTTACAACGATCGGTTCCAATTTTTGAACGGCGGAGAGCTCGATTTTAAATTGGCCGAAACTTTGACTGCTCCACCTCCTCACGCGCCACCGTCGACGGAGACCAAGGTTGACACCGGCAGACTTGAAACGACACAAGGAACACGATGGTGCAGGAGGTGTCGTAAACGGAGCAACAATCGGCGATGAATTTGAGATTTTCTCGGCGATCGAGCTAAATAAAACGTCGAGACTTTGACTGGAAATTCCTGACGTTTGGCAGCGTTTTGCTTCAATTAATTTGAATGGTTTGTTCCTCGCTCGATGATGAACACAACGGTGGTTTCAAAACGACGATCGAAATTCGGACGACGTCGGAATCGAGGTTGGAAACTGGTGTAGGGGAAAGGGAATTTCTGAATTGGTTTTCTGTGTTTTCACGCAGAAACCAATTCATTTTTTTAAATGAAAAACCTGCCGACACTCAAAAGTATAACTCAGGGCTTGGTCATTGAATTTTCTTTAATTTCTAAAATGGACTTCAAATTTTCAAAACTTTCAATTTAGTCCTCATAATTTACCAATTTTCACAATTAACCTCCAATTTCAATTTAATATTATTCTAAATTTTTCCAGGTTGTTACATGGAAACTGCTGCTTTTGATGTTAATGCTTATAGTACGGCTAATTTGTGTTTGGATGGACAGCATTGGCTAAAGAACATGGAAAGTGATGTGGTTAGTGGGATTATGTGTTTAATCAAAGAGCCGAATATTTCCCTAATTAAAGACCAGATTAAAGACTAAATATCCTTAATATTTGGATAAATTATATGTTATATATTATACAATATTAAAATTTATAAATTAGTTTCTAAAATTACACCTAAATTTATAATAGTCCAAAATTTAATAGATATTTAGCTGAGTGGGCGGATGCGACGCGGGCGGATGCGGGGCGGGTAATGTCTCAAACCCATTACCCGCCCACCACCCACGACAGGTACCACTATATAAATCTACACCCGCCCACTACCCGCTAAAATTATACCCATCCCCGCTCCAATTGGAGCGGATGCGGTGCGGAATCCACGAAATTGTACCCGTTTGCCATCCCTAAGTAGTCGTGTGAGGCATATTTCAATTAAATTCAATAAATATTCACAATAGTTGTATTTAAAAAGTGAATAAATAGTGGTGAGAGATTTTAGCTGCCATTCCAAAGCCCTAGAGCCACACGCATCTCTCTCTCTCTCTCTCTCTCTCTATATATATATATATATATGTATATACAGAGAGAAAGCTACAAAGTTAAAAGTTGCAATGTATTGTTTTTACCATGTATAAAATAATTATAATTAATGAAAATTAAATACTTGAAATCCTTTCCAATTCAATTCATTAATTCTTCAAAACTGTCCAAATCGTTATGCAATGGAAATTCAATGAAGACCACCATTATAGGATGTAACATTTGAAATATTTTTCAAATTTTATTTTTATATAAATCTATGGGGAAAAATAAAAATAAATACTCGAAATCTGTTGAACGAAAAGAAAAAACAACACTTAAAAAATTTATAATTAAATTAATTAAATAATAAAATGGATGGCAAAACCCTACAACCACACTTTTTTAATAGGAAAATATTATATTTTCATTATTTTTTAATTGAATTTACTTTCGGTTTATATACATTAAAATATTGTTTGAGGTCACAAGTTCAAACACCATGTATACTAGAGATACATGCATCCAATATTATATTGTCGAAAGTCTTTGAACATATACTACATTATACTCACTCTAGATTAATAAAAAAATATTTCTAATTTTAATTAATTTCCATTTATCTTTATAATCAAATTTAAAGTGAATTAAGGGTCAAAATCTCTTCACCCCTTTTAAATAGTGAAGTTGATATTCTCTCTAATTTTTATATTTTTTTAATTTATTTTTTCAACAATTTTTTACCTTTTTCACCGAATAATAAATTGATTCACACTTTGTCTCTTTACTTTCCATCATAATTCCAAGTCTTCTAAAAGTCCAAATCTCACCTTTCACTTCCATTGTTGTGTCCTATCAGTTTTCCCTGTGAAAAAAAATTCTTCGCTCTCGTTCTTGATCAAGCTGATAGGAACATGGAAAACGAAACTTTTTCCGGAGAAACATCAGATTTAAGACCATCAAAGCCGATCAAGATTCTAAAACTGAAGATCTCGAAACGTTGTAATCAACATATATGCCCCGTTTGCAGCAAGGAGTTTACCTCAGGGAAGGCATTGGGAGGTCATATAAGGATTCACACGAAGGGAAACAAAAACAATGGTCGCCATAGAAGGATTTCGAAGCTTCGTTCCGACCCTAAGAAACGGATCTCGCCGAAACATAGTGATGATCAAGATGATGATAAGGTTGTCAATTGCTGCGTGTGTAACAAGGAGTTCAAGTCAATGAAATCTTTGTTCGGGCACATGAGGAATCATCCCGAACGGAGTTGGAGAGGGGTCCGACCGCCGCCTTCTGACAAAAACAGCTGTTGTTCGAGTGTTTCCGAAGACGGCGAAGCTATGGAAGTCCATCAGGTTAGCTTTAAAAAAGAAGAAAACTCGGAAGAGGAGGAGGTTCTTGAAGCTGCTTATTGCCTGATGAAGATAGCTCGAGGAGATTCCTTTGAGTTTGATCAGTCAAGGTACAAGCTTCCAATTGATATGAATGGTTGTTTTGATCAATTTCACAAGTTCCCAAGGAAGCCTGTTGAAGAATGGTGTGATCTATCATCCATGGAAGGTTTCTACCCCAAAAACCCTAATGGCCATGGAAAACAATTTGAAGCTCCGGTGAACAAAACCGCAGCACCAGCAACAGTGGAGGGCGAAGACCGATGTTCCGAAACTGAAGGCAGTCATCAGGTTTGTTCCCGCAAGATGCTTGATATTGATCTAAATGAATCTTATGTGCCAGTAGATCATGAGGGTGCATGGATCATGTAGCTTGTCAAGAACTACAAATTTCAATGCTTTCAGTTCTTTTTTTTTGGTTAATCTCATCCCAGCTTATGATGTTTGTTACTTTCAACAAATTGAATCTTTTAATTCTATCTTTAGAACTACTGTGTTTATTATGAAATCAAAATCATCTGTTTATTATTCTTGTTTTACATATCTAATATATTTAGGGATCACAATGCAGTTGAATTTTCAATTTAACTGTGTATATCAATATAATTATAACATAATTTTAATATATATTATCTAATAATTATGAAAATCATTTCAAGATTGAAATAATAATTTTAAAATTTAGGATGGGTTTGGAAAATCATCCCATAGTTAGATTTGGATATAATTTTTACGTGTTTGTAATCTCTAAATATACTCTTTAATTTTTAAGAAAGATTCAAATTGATGTAATTACATATGTAATTATAATTTTAATTATTATTATTATTAGAGTTTTATATCAAATATCAGTAATTTTATGTTTGTATACTTTTTATAATATCATTTTCTATATATAACATTTTTAACTTATTTATTTATATATGCATGATGTTTTTGTATTATTTATTTGTTTCTACTTATGACGTCAATTTCTAATTTATTATTATTTCTATACATTAGGGTTTTATAATATTATATACAACACCTGTTTTTTAACTTTAATAAATTTATGTTGAGTACGTATTTACATATTTATAAAAAAAATTAGGTTTAACTTTACTTTTGTATAACAATTAATACTATTTAGAATTTAAAATTATATAATTATATAATAACAATTTGTACAATTAAGTATGACTTGAAATTATATGTAATTACGTTGTGCCTATAAATATCTCTATATCATTAGAATTCTTAGTGGTTACATTGTCACTAAAATAATAATTATATTTTTTTTTATAAAATTACATTGTGGTGTCCAAATATACTCTGAATAAAGATAGAGTGAAACCAACATTTACCAATTTTTTTAAAAATATTTTTCAGTGATAATTAATGGAAATATCATTATTAAAAAATATTTTATGGGATATATTTAACAGCTTAAATGAATGTTGGTTGACTGATCTCATCCTAATGCTGTTTGACTGATCTTCTGTATTGATGGGTTTAAACTATTGTTAGTTCCAAAACATATTGGAAAAGCTAAATTTAAAGAGATATATAATTATATATTGTTTAAAATCTCTCATATTATCTAAAAGAATAATTCGGATGAAATATTTTAGTTATTTGATTTTGTGCGTTTGTTTTTCAAATTGAGTTTCATCAAGTACAAATTTCAATTTTATATTCATCACTATGCTTCAAAAATTAAATTAAAGTTTTAAATAATACGTTTATGTTAATGTAGGGGAATATAATGATTTACTCAGTAAAACAATTGAGGACATAATTGCTACCTCGAACAAGAAACCTTCGTCTTCATTCTCTCCCTCGAAGATTTACCCTTCTTTGCACCTGTAGGACATGAACCTCTACTTGAGGAATAATTGCTAGAAGAGCAGCAATCGACAGGTAGGGGATCATGGAAATAAGCCTCCGCTTACAAGTTTTTTAATCTTAATAAATAAAAAACTTGATATAAAAATAAATGTCTAAACTATACATCTTTTCTTATTTAGGTGTTTAAATTTATTTTAGTCAATTTTTTCAATAACTCGGAATATGACGCGCGATATCTTTTATAAAATTTTAAATATATAGTTTTTAGAAAATCTCGCACCAAGTTTTTGATTAACTCACTATCCCAACCATCCACCTTTACAATAACTTGTGAACTGCATAACAAGTAAAAGGAAGAATGTTGAAGACCAATAGCCTGCAACAGTTAGATCAAGACCAAGAGTTGCAGGAATTGCCGTTGCTGCTCTAAAGTTCTGAATGCTAAGAGTTGTATTGAACACAGTTAATACAGTGAGGGGCAGTGAGACGGGGAGAGAGATTTTTTTATAAAAAAATGTTTTTAATATAATAATTTATTTTTAAGTTTTTTTAAAAATAAAATCTTTAAAATTATTCGAATATAAAACATCATTTAATAAAAAAAATTAACGGTTGTTACGGTTGAAAAATTTAAAATTATAATATTTATAACTTTAGACACCTAAATTAATCAAAAAATTAATTTAGACACTTAAATAAAAAAATAGGGTAAGTATAGTAATGGTCACTGAACATTTCTGAAGCTTGCATTTAGGTCCCCAACATTTAAAACTTGCAATACAGTCCCCCAACATTTATTCCGTTTGCAATATGGTCCCCCAACTTAAACCACAGTTAGAAAATTAGGATAAATTATATAAACAGTCATTGAACTTTTCAGTCACTTGAATTTAGGTCCCCAACTTTTAAAACTTGCAAAACAGTCATCAATTTCATTCTAAACCCCAATTTCCAAAGTAATTCAATTTTATTCTAAACCCTAAATTCTAAAATACTTCAATTAAATTCTAAAATACTTCAATTTAAGGTAATATAGGCTTGAAGAAAGAGTTCAAGGCACAGACACAACGAATAAAAATATATTTATATAAATGTATATTTATATTTAGATGTATAAATAAAAAATATATTCATATATTAATGTATGAATCATTTATATTTTTTGAATATTTTATTTTTAATAAGAAATTAAAATTATTAATTATATTAGAAATACTCAACTTAAGATTATATATATAATCATGAATTATAAATATGAAAAATATAATTATTAAATTTAGTTTAAAAATATAAATCTTAAATTTATTCTTTTAAAATATTGTATCAACTAATATTTAAAAAATATATTAAATCTATCAAACAATTTATCAAAATATTTTTTTATTGTAAAATATAATATTTTCCCATCATTTATTGCTTTCAAATTTTTTGCCGAAGTTCAAATCTCATTATTTCCATTTTACATTATATTCTTTTTTTTCTGGCATTGATCATACTATTAGTATATGTATTATTGTATATCTCTTAACACAAACGATGGTGTTAGCTTAGTGGCTCCACCCTGTATCTTTCATTTGCGTGACTCAGGTTTGAGTTTGCCCAAGACCCAAATTTTACTTCTTTGTAACTTAATTTTCTTCTAATTAGGAGGTGACATGTGTCACCAATAACACATATCATGATCATGTGTTAACACATGTCAGATCCTGATTAAATGATTAATTTATTAAATTTTATTTAATTTAGGACCAAATTGATAGCATATATAAATAATTAGGTGGTAACATGTGTCACCAATGACACGTGTCAAGATCATGTGCTAACACATGTCAGATCCTAATTAAATGATTAATTTATTAAATTTTCTTTAATTTAGGACCAAATTGATTATATAAATAATAAAGACTGAATGTATAATAATACCAATTCCTTTTAACTGCCACATCATCATTTTTATCAATTGGTAACGACTAGTGGCTTAGTTGAAACAGTTAAATAATTATGTGGTATGATTGATAAATTTAAAAGATCGATGACAAAAGTAAAAAGGGCTAGATAGTTAAGTTGTCAACCGAGTAGTTTACACTTTTATTTATACGTCAAAATAACATTTTATAAATTTAAAATTCGAATTATTTTCAACCTCTTCTATATCCTAACTACTTTTTTTAATTAAAAAATTTCTTCAACAGATAAGAATTATACTATTATATTTATATAAAAAATATGTATCACATGAAATAAGATGAAATTAAATAATAATAAATTTGACATAATTGAATTTAATTTAAGTATTTTAGAATTTAGGGTTTAGAATAAAATTGAATTACTTGGAAATTAGGGTTTAGAATGAAATTGATGACTGTTTTACAAGTTTTAAAAGTTGGGGGACCTAAATTCAAGTGATTGAAAAGTTCAATGACCATTTTTATAATTTATCCTAATTTTCTAACTGTGGTTTAAGTCAGGGACCATATTGCAAACGGAATAAATGTTGGGGGACTGTATTGCAAGTTTTAAATGTTGGGGGACCTAAATGCAAGCTTCATAAATATTCAGTGACCATTACTATACTTTACCCTAAAAAATAATATAATTTAGATACTTATTTTAAGTTTTTGTTTAGCACGACGACTCCAATGTTTGATTTGAGAGCAAAGTAATCGTATCTATCCCTCTCCTTTAGCCTTTCTTACACTGAAATAGATGAAAACATCAATGGAAACGATATCGCCGCCTCTCCCTAACATTTTACCTTCCAAAAGGTTTTTGCTCAAAAAATCTCAATTGCCGCCGCGATTTCCAAAACACTGGTCCAAACTAACAGCGCCACCGCCGACTCCGACCGCCAAACCCATTTCCACCGCTCCGGCCACCGTCAGTCACACCACCTCCGACATTTTGCGCTTAATGGATTCTCTTTCCCTTCCTATACCCCCTGATATCTACGCTTCCCTTACCAAAGAATGCACCCTCTCCCGCCACTCCTCTAGTGCTCTTCGCTTACATTCCCACATCCAAAACAACCGTATCAAAGTCTCCTTGCCTTTGCTTAACCGCCTTCTCCTTATGCATGTATCTTGTGGTCACTTGGAGATTGCACGCCAGACGTTCGATCAAATGTTTCTAAGAGATTTCAACTCTTGGGCTATCATGATTGTCGCTTGCCTCCAGGCTGGTGACTCCGAACAGGCCATTGCTTATTTCGTTCTCATGGAACGTTGTAATTCTTTCTTCAAATTCCCATCTTGGATCATAGTGTGCCTTCTGAAATCGTGCGTTTTGACTAATAATATGGAATTAGGGAAGCAAGTTCATGGACGGTTACTCAAGTTAGGTGTTACCCGTGATTTTTCTTTAACCGGGTCCTTAATCAACTTCTATGGGAACTTCAAGTGCTTGGATGATGCCAACACTCTCTTTAATCGGTCTTCAAAGCGTAACACTGTGACATGGACGGCAAAAATGGTGAACAGTTGCAGGGAAGATCAATTCCGCCAGGTGCTCGATGATTTTACCGATATGGGAAGGGAAGGTATTAAGAAAAACAGCTTTACGCTTTCAAGTGTTCTAAAGGCATGTGCTGGGATGGATGATGAAGGGATGTCAGGACGACAGGTTCACGCCATTGCTATCAAGCTCGGGTTGGAATCTGAAGGTTTCGTTCGATGCGGGTTGATCGACATGTATGGGAAATGCAGGTTGGTGAGAGATGCTGAGAAGGCATTTGAGGTTGCTGGCGATGAGAGAAACATTGCTTGTTGGAACGCCATGGTTACGGGTTATGTGCATAATAAGCTGTGTGTTCATGCTATTAAGCTTCTGTATGGAATGAAAGAAGCCGGACTCGAGGTTCAACAATCACTGATCAATGATGTTAGGGTTGCTTGTGGTAGCAGGGAACTTGAAAATGGCAGGACATAGTAGAATCAATTTCCATAGACAGATTCATCATGTTCTGGTGGATGGGTTTCAAATATTATGAATCGAATGAAAATAGACATTGTAAATATTTGGATATAATTACCGAATGCAGGGAGTCCATGACCAAAACTTTCTTGTATATTTTGAAATGTAAGTTATACTTTATGTAAAGTCTTAGATACAGGATTTAAATTTATTTGAGACTCTTTCGAATCGAATTTATAAAATTTGAGTTTAGCTGAATTGAATTATTTTTTTTAAAATTTCTACTCATATTTAATTATAAAATTTATAATATTATGTTGTGGATTGATATAATTTAATGTTTTTTTCAACATATAAGATATACATATATTTTTTTAATATTCTTTTTCACATTGTAATAGCATTTGAAAAAATAAATATCATCTAAAATTATAAAATATATTTATAATTTTATTTTTTAAAGAATATATTTTAGAAAAAAATATTTATGAGAATATAAAAAGTCCAAGAATAGAAGGAAACAAGAATTTGTAAAAGAATATTATAGTAAAAAAATTAAATTGAATAAAATACAAAGATTAAAAAGTAAAGATAAAATAATCTCAGTGACAAAAAATCCCATATAATATACGATTTTAACCAATTTTTTTTGGATTTGTCAAAATGACCAATAAAATCGCAATTCGATCGCTAATTCGCAACGCGATCTCCATTATCGCAAATCAGTTTCCAGATTCGCAACGCGATTATGACTATCGCAATGCGATTTTCCAATTTCGCGTTGCGATTTTCCTAATTCGCAATGCGAATAAGTAAATCGCAATGCGAATTTAGAAAATCGCAATGCGAATTTGGAAAATCGCAATGCGAATTTGGAAAATTGCAATGCAAATTTGGAAAATCGCAATGCGATACTGACTATCGCAACGCGATAATACAAAATCGCAACGCGATACTGACTTTCGCAACTCGATACTTAATTTCGCAACGCAATACTGACTTTCGCAACGATTTCGCAACTTTAATACATAATCGCAATACGATATTTTCAAAGCGCACATTAGTAGGCAAAGACGTATATTTATATTTTCAAATTCCAACACACGAATATTAATATCTATCTCCATCTCTCAGAGCCACCCTCACAATCAGAAATGGGAAATCAACCAAATCAACCACCGATTGTTAGTTTTTTTAATTATTTTCTTTTTGAAATTTTTGCATTATTATTAGGTTTTTCATATTGAAATTGATGATAAGTTTACTGGTAATTTCAATAATAGATTAACCATTTCACTTAGATTGCTTATTAAATCAACCGAGAATCGCAACGCGAAATGAAAATCGCAATGACAAAATCGCAACGCGATTTTATTCTCTCGTTGCGATAGTCAAATTCGCGTTGCGATTGTCATTTTCGTGTTGCGGTTTTCATTTTCAGAAACTATTATTTTTCTGCAAATTGAAACTTGAATGAATTGCATTACTTCAACAAATAAACAAAGACAAATAAGAAATTCACAGTGTTGCAAATTTAAGTTTGAAGAATAAACTACTACTCTTTATGTTTATTGTTTTTGGTATATCTTCACAGTGTAGTTTTTGGTATATCTAACTTAGTATGTTTATTGTTTTTGTAGAACTTTTATTCGGCTCAATTGACCTTAAGAAATAAAGTCAGCCTGGCCAAAACAATTGTGTCGAAGCTTTTACCTGCACAAAGAAAAATTTGAGGATACTTGCTTCGGGCCATGGCTGAAAGTACAACATCCCGGTGGAATGCGATGTTGACACACCTGTTTCTTCAAACCATGACTAGGGATCTACCAGATACTATACAACGTCATGATGAAGAGATATGGTTTGATTTTCCACCGGCGTATACGTGTTTTGGGCGGGAGTTTTGCTTAATCACTGGTCTACGCTTCGGACACGATGATGTAGGTCGGTACACTAGATTACCCGCCCATCATGGTTATCCTGGGTTTTCCTGAGCTGGAGAGGCTGAATCTACACGTGGAAAACCTGACGATATATACAACGTCATGAAGAGATGGTTTGATTTTCCACCGGCGTATACGTGTTTTGGGCGGGAGGAGTTTTGCTTAATCACTGGTCTACGCTTCGGACACGATGATGTAGTCGGTACACTAGACACATTACCCGCCATCATGGTTATCCTGGGTTTTTCCTGAGCTGGAGAGGCTGAATCTACACGTGGAAACCTGACGATATTATTGAATAAGAATATGGTTTTACTCGGATGGATGACGTCGATGTTGTCCGTATGCCTTCTAATACTTTTGCATGTCGCTTTTTAGGCAGAGAGACCAGACAACCTATTCCGAATGATCTAATCAAATTGGTAGAAGACCTAAATGCGTGGAACCTATTTCCGTGGGGCTCGTATTTATGGAAAGCTACATGAATAAGTTATCGTCTGCCTTGGATGATCGAAAAAGTTTGCATGGCGATGGTTCCAATACACTTTGACAGGCTTTATTTGGGCCTTTAAGGTAAGAATTTTTATATAAGTTTCCAAAATTATAAGTAATTATTTAACAATTACTAATGTTGTTATTATTGTTTGTAGATTGGATATTGAGCCTTTCCCCGCCATGAAGACATTGCAATAAAACTTCAAATGATATTCCCAGGGCTATTTCCTGGAAGAGGAACGACCTTGCAATGGGAAGATTTACTACGTATACACAATAAATAATGTAAGTTAACAAATACTACCATATGTTTATAACAAGTATTACTAGTACACGTTAACTTTGTTTGAGCTTTTATATTGTTAGGAGGCCACACTCCATTACAGAGGCTGACACCCACGGAAGCTGAGCTTGCCACTGATTGGTGGTAAGCTAGTAAGCGTTTTTTTGATGGCACGGATGATGAGCAGCCTCCACTTCGGGAGCCATCACCTCACCCAGAGCTATCACCTCACCCAGAGCCATCACCTGATCGACCCGACTATACACCTCCACAACGACAACCATCACCTATTCTATCACATCATCGAGCCTCTTCTCCACCATCACTGCAGATAGCGACCGGCAAAGATTCCACGACGTTTATCTCCCTGTTCTCCACCTCCACGGATGAGTTAGGAGAGTTACGTGATGGTCAATGCCTTGCGTGAGGTTAGAACTTTACGCAAAGACGATGGTGCATGGCGTGTGAGGTGTCTACTTTACGCGGTGAGGTAGCCGCTCTACGTGAGATGGTAGCATCGTTGCAGAATGAGGTTCATACTCTACGCAACGAGGTAAGTTTAAGATTTTTCATATTTAACTTGATGATAAATTACTCGTAATTTCACTTAGATTAACCATTTCACTTAGATTGCTTAATAAATTCATTCGGTTGCTGCCAACTGCTAAATTGTTTTGTTAGTATTTGTTTTTGGTTTTGTTTTTGTCTTTTGGTTGAAGTAATACAATCCTTCAAGTTTCAATTTGCAGAAGAAGAATAGTTTACTTTCGCAACACGAAAATGACTATCGCAACGCGGAAATGGCTATCGCAATGCGAAATGAAAATCGCAACGAAAATCGCAATGCGAAATGAAAATCGCAACGACAAAATCGCAACGCGAAATGAAAATCGCAATGCGATTTGTGTTTCGCGTTGCGATTTTGTCGTTGCGATTTTCATTTCCGCGTTGCGATAGTCATTTCCGCGTTGCGATAGTCATTTTTGCGTTGCGAAAGTAAGTTTCGTGTTGCGAAAGTAAACTATTCTTCTTCTTGAATGTTTATATATGTTGTCCTTTTAAATGTTTATATAAGTGCTTACTTCTGGAATGTTATCTAATGCATTTTGTGAACTATGATAGAATAATGACTTGGGTGAATACAATGCAAGTTTGAAACATATTTGTCTTTGTTTAATATCATGTCTGTTTATTTACTGATTTATGTATTAATTTTTTTTAGCGGCCTGATAAGGTGGATGCTTTACGTCGGGTTTTCCTTGCACGACGTAGTTCACGCATCAGACGGCGTGCACGTGCTATTACGTCTCCGTTCACCCCAATGGTGCGAAGACTCCGCAAGAAGAATCCCGACTCACCTGTCATCCCTCAAGAGTCCCCTCCAATCGTTCAAGAGGCCCCTATCATCCCTCAAGAGTCCCCCCACCGTTCAAGAGGCCACTGTCATCGTTGAAGAGGTCCCTCCCACCATTCCAGAGCCCAATTCACATGGGATAATATATCGAATTATTGAGAAACCCCCACCGTTGCCGGACATGATGGATGAGAGTTGGCTCTCGTATGAGTTACCGGCTAGTACCCTTCCGGTATCTGAAGTGGAGAGGAGACAACTACCGGAAACAATTCTGGATAATACCCTTTGGGCTAAGACCGCAGTTAATTTTTATCTACATGAGCGGAGCCAAAGGTGTTACACTGACATAAGCAAACTCAACGATGAGATGTATTTGTTGCTTAATCGGTCTTGGTGGGGTGTGTTATTAGGGGTTGAAGACAGTGGCTATTTCGATGGGGAGGTAAGTCTTATATTTGTCTTATATATGATTTTGATTAATTTTTTTTAAAAATTAATGTAATTCACTAATATATGTCTTTTTTTTTAAAACAGCATATCGATGCGTGGGTGTCACGTCTTCTAATAATAAGGAAGCTTAGGAAAAATAAAAAAAAATCGCGATATACAATAATGCCGGCTTTTCACGCAGTTCACTTGAAGAATCAACGAGATGAATCATTTTCGTTGGGTAATGGACAAGCTAAACTTTATCCTGCATGGTGGGAGGTCGATAAGGTTAGTGTTTATTTTTTAAATTTTTTTAAAGGTGTTCATAAATAAGTTCGCAAATAAATGAATTATTACTTATGATTGCAGGTGTTTATCCATGTTTTGGAACGTCGTCATTGGCTTCTCGTTCAACTTCAGCTCCCATCCCTGAAGATAATAGTATATGACAGCATGATAAATTACATATCACTGTCTGATTTGAGAGATATTATCAAGGGATGGAGCTCTCATTTGGCTAAATTCTTGGATGTGATTAATTATTGGACTCATTCTGGACACAAAAAGCCAAAGAAGTTCAATGTCACAGTTGTCAGAGACGAGACCGTGCCACAACAATCGCCGGGAGCCAGAGGGGATTGTGGTCCTCTCGTATGCATGTGCTTGACACGTTTGACGACGGGAAGAACAGAGTTTCTACCTCCCACCGATAGAGATAGAGCTGCAGTAGGCTTGTGGTTTCGGTATTATATGGTTAGAGCGATATATTCTAGACGCTGCCTACCTGCATCCGCGTTATGAAAGTATCCATTGTTAATTGGTAAGTCAAATGCAAGTTTTGTTAACATATATACTCCTTTTGGTTTGAAAATGTTTGGTTAAGTACCTAGAATTCAATAATTTGTTGTTTGTAGGTTTTAGATGTGTAGGAAGTCTTGTTTGAGCAAATGTTTAGTTTCTGCAAGTTAATTCTTAAGTGAGCTGCGTGAAATGGATGTACGGGTGCAAAAGTTTCTGCAACGAGAAATCGTAATACATGCCTAACTGAAAATGTTAAAAGTGCACACATAAAATACACATAATACAACGTTTGCATTTAAAAATCACATAAGTTAACAGTTCCAAAAGGTGAAGCCGGTTGTGATTGGGATTTTGAAGATGATTGCGATTTTCAGAATCTCGTTGCGAAAGTCAGAATCGCGTTGCGAAAGTCAGAATCGCGTTGCGAAAGTCAGTATCGCGTTGCGAAAGTCAGTATCGCGTTGCGATTTTGTATTATCTCGTTGCGATAGTCAGTATCGCAACGCGATACTTACTTTCGCAACGTGATTTTCAAAGTTCGCAATAGGTTTTAGTTTCGCAACACAAATTTTTTGTGTATATATCTACGCAGCAGCAACAACTCATAACCTAAATCCCTAAATCGTAACTCATTTCATCTCTATCTATCACTCTCTCCGGCGACATCCGTTCCTATATCCGTTCCTACATCCTTCCCCATCCGGTAACAGGTCTTAGTTTCGCAGCTCGTTTGTTTAGTAAATTTATTTACAACCATGAAATCATCTAATGTTGATCATGTTTGGATAGATTTGTGTTTTGGAGGGTCATGGGAGAATGTTCATGGTGTTTTACAATATATGCCTTTACCCATGAATCTTCAACTAAAACTGTCATTCAAAAAGTTAACTTATGAAACTCTAATGTTACGTGTTTCAAAGAAATTGAATTTAGAGCCCCTAAGTGGATTTAGGCTATCTTATCAGAGAAATGGTAAAGTTTATTTGTTAACCGACAATGAAGATGTTGAACGATTCATTGCTTACATTAGTGTTTCAAGTGATGATGTTACATTGTATGTTGTTGAACCTAGAAATATATTGTTGGGTCAGTAGCGGGTAGTAATCAACTAAGTTTTTCTTAAAACCCACAACCTTTCTCTAATCCAAATCCCAATCAACTTTCAGCACCAAATTCCGGTTTTCGTATTGACCAATTAGACGATGATGAGCCAACAGAAAAAATTGTGAGTACTAGTCAGTATTCGAAATTTGATCTTGGTCAATACCCGGACTTTGATATTGGTCAATAATCGGATTTTGATGATGTTTCAGAAGAAGAAACAGACCCTGCGTGTAATGATTTTGATATTGGTCAATACCCGAATTTTGATGATGAAATAACCGTTGCCGAGGAAGATGTTGTTGATGATAATGAGGAGGAAGTTACGACTGTGAATGAACATGTTGAACATCCATTCTGTAATTCATATAATCCTGAAGAAGAAAAAGAAGAAGAAAAAGTCCCCGAAGAAAAGAAAATGCCACAGGAGTATAACTGGAATATGCCAGAATTACTTCAGATACCGGAAGAAGAGTTGGTAAAGAAAGCAGTTGATTGTTACACAAAAGTTATTTGTATCAAGAAAGATGATTGTTTTGATACAAAGGAAGACTTCAAGATAGCTTTGTATACGAAATGTGTGGAAGATGGCTATCAACTAAAAGTTAACAAATCAAGCAAAGATCGTTTCGAAACAAGGTGTATGATTGACAAAAACTGTACGTGGCGTATGATTGCAAAGAGGATAAAACATTGCGAAATGTTTCAAGTTAGGACTTTTATTGATAAACATACATGTTCAAGAACCCAAGTTTTTCCTCACCATAGACAGGCAAACAAAAAGGTGTTGGGTGGTTTTCTGGCTGAGTTAATGTTTTTGAATGGCAGGGTATATCGGGGACATGAAATTATGACTGACATGAATGCTCTGTTCAAGATTAGTATATCATATTCTCAAGCTTGGAGAGCCAAATGTTATGCCTTGGAATTGTTGAGGGGGTCGCCAGAAGCATCGTTTGCCCAACTGCCGGCTTATTGTGGACTGAGTGTTGTGAGAGATGGAGATGAGACTGAGTGTTGTGATTTTAGGTTTGAGGTTATGAGTTGCGATTACTGTGGACGGTTCAGTTTCCGATATATTAAGAAAAAATTTGTGTTTGGAATTTGAAAAAAAAATACGCATTAATACGAATGGCGCTATGTAAATCGCATTGCGATAGTAAGATTCGCATTGCGATTTACGTATTCGCATTGCGATTTTCCTAATTCGCATTGCGATTTACTTAATCGCGTTGCGATTTACGTATTCGCATTGCGAATTATGAAAATCGCAACGCGAATACGTAAATCGCAATGCGAATTAGGAAAATTGCATTGCGATAGTCAGTATCGCATTGCGATTTTCCAAGCATTGCGATTTACTTATTCGCATTGCGAATTGGGAAAATCGCAACGCGAAATTGGAAAATCGCATTGCGATAGTCATAATCGCATTGTGATAGTCATAATCGTGTTGCGAATCTGGAAACTAATTTGCGATAATGGAGATCGCGTTGCGAATTAGCGATCGCATTGCGATTTTGTTGGTCATTTTGGCAAATCCGAAAAAAATTGGTTAAAATCGTATATTATATGGGATTTTTGGTCACTGAGGTTATTTTCTCAAAAGTAAATTATAAAAAGTAAATTTATCATTAAAAATTATATAAAAATTGAAGTGACAAATTTTTTTGTGTCAGACAGATTGTATGAGACAATTTAAATTTGATAAGAAAATAAACTTAAAATGATGAAGAAATTAGAAATAAGAGGAATTAGGAGTAAATATTCAATTTAGTTAAGTTAAATAATTTTGAATTAATTAATTTAACAAGTCAAATTTTATCATTAATACTTTATTTGATTATTATTTTTTAAAATCAAACAGATTATATTTCAGTCAAATCAAATCAATCTTTTAAAATTGAATCAATTTTTACTCACCTTCATATTCCATTAAACTTTTATCATGACAATTCTAGATTGATCCATGAACTGAACTACCATCCTCACTTGCTTAACCCAAACTTCGTACGATGTACATGATAATTCGTACAGCTAAAATTATAATTTTAATAATAAAACTAATATATTCTTAAAACATTTTTAGCGATTTGTCATTTGTTTAGTTGATTCTTAAGTGAATCATAACGGCATCTACTCTTCAAAGAACCCCAGTATTATATCTCATACTGTAGGCAACAAATTTCTGGGAAAGTTGTTTCAGAAAATATAATAATGGTAAAACACCAAGAATTCATGGTTTTAGACAAGACTATGTATCTAAATGCCAAAAGAAACAAATATCAGCATCCTTCAGAACAAACCAAAAATGCCTCCACCGCTGAATTAACTATCACCCCCGAATCTAATTCATTCTCCGAATTAGCTCATTGATGTAATTCTCGCGGTTGCCCGCATCTCCTCCTTCGACATAGTGGTTTCTCTTCTTCTTCAGACCACCTAGCGGCGCCTTGAGCTGAAAGGGCCAAAGGAAATTGTTGGCCTCCTTAAAATGAGGTCCTACGGTCATGATCTCATGGATAAGATCTTCAACACAGATGATGCCAAATTTGCCCAGAGCCTGTCAACAGTATAGATTAGTAACTGTTTAGTACTGATAAACTTCAGTAAATGCAATAAGATACAGACCTGCTCCACGATTGCGTTGTCCGTCAAAGCAATTCTCTGTTTGTTCAACTTCCCATAACCTCTTTTGTAAATCAATTCCCTCACACTCTTGAGATTAGGATATCTAAAATCACATATCATGAGAAATATGACATCAAAAGCCAATATCATGACTAAAAAGCGATAGCAGGAAGTAGGAAGACAAAAAAATACCCATAAGTCACATAAGGCTCAACAAGGTGAAGCATGTTCATTGTTGCCTTGTTCACTTTAAGAAAAACACCATTGAAAATCTGCAATTGGTATGAACAAAACAATTTAGAATCGGATTTGATTCATTTATCGAAAGAAAATGTTATATAGTTTCCTGTACATAAAACAACCATCAGTTTGTGGCAATGTTAGAAAGAAAAACCCAGTGACAAAGTGAGCATCGTATGGAAGTAGTTAATTTAACAAAAAGCTAGCAATTAAAATTTGAGTTACACTATCCAAATGACAAAGTACAGAGCTCCAACAACTTCAAACTATATATAAACAATAAGGTACAGCTTAATTTTAGACAAAAAATATATAGAAAAGCGGCACACTAAGCACCAACATTAAAGCTTCAAAGAGAGGTTATTTCAGCTAGATATCTGAAGTCCAACACAAATGTCATCCATCAAAGGAAGATTTACTTCATACATACACACCATTCGGGCAAGGAAAAGTGGGGTATTGGTTCAAATAATCTGTATTATCTAAGTTCCAGAAAAGGTTTGGTAAACTATAGGCCAGTCCATTAACATGTGTGGCATGTGACACGCCATAGGGCCTCAAAATTTAGGGGCCCTACACATGAATGTCATTCAAGCCTGTTCATGTACAAGCTTTGTGCCCTAACAACATTTTCGTTCGAAGGAAAAACAAACTTTCCGTTTAGGGAAAGTGGCAAAGAAAGTTGCAAACGAAGATTTTGACAGTATTTTTAATCGTTTTCCATGATAATTTTGATAAAAAGACCTCGTAGATGTCTCATAATTTCAAATTTAACAAATTAATCTTTATTATAAAACATTTTAGGTGCCTCATTTTAAAAACTAGCACAGAGTGTGCCCATCTTTTGGGATGGGCCTGGTAAACTACCTGTCTCAAACGCAAGAGCTGCAAGATCTTTCTCGTCCTAGGGTGCATGGCATTGATACTGAAACCAAAAAAACTCACAGCTCGTTACAGTTCAGGATTTAGATCCATATATGAAAGTAATGTAAAAATAATCACATACCCACGGATTCGGATGATGAACAAGAGTTTAGCTTCTGGATCTACATAGAATCCTCCTTTCAATTTTGCCTCCCGCTTCAATTGAACCAGCTCTTTCTCCTGTCAATTATAGATCATAAATATTATGATTCTGAAGCTTTTATTATTTGCTAAAAACAGATTAAACACAAATCAAAACAGAACAACAAATTTACCTGAGCCTCGTACCCCTTTGCATATTGCATAGCCCTAGTGAAAATCAGCTTGCGATTCTCGACTTTTTTCTTCTTTGCAACTTCAATCGCCTTCTTTTTGGCAAGCTCCCATTCTTCATTCCTCTTCTGCTTCTTCAAAAGTGACTCGGGAACCACAGCCTTAGCTTCCTCACTCATTTCTAGTCCACATTAGCATCAAATCAAAACCAATCCGAAAATTAGAACATATTCTACATATCTATCAGCTATAAAAGGAAAAGCAAGTCTTCGAGACAAACAATGAATAGAAACAATGAAACGAGTCATCTAAATCAACCTCATTGATAGATAAAAATCTACAAATAAGTACGGAGGTAAGCCTATTTTCCTCTAATGAGCAATCATTTCATAAAAAATGTTGGAAATTGAACAAAGTACCCTGCTAGTTCACAGACAAATACGAGCCAATGGTACATAAAATTCAAGAAAAAATACAGATTAATGCAGAGAAATTGTTGTTCTTTTATTACAGTTCTTGAAGGTTTGCCAGAAAGGGCAGCTGATGGTTACCTGAACTGTGGATGGTCTCGGATGCGGCAGATAAAAAGGAATTAGGGTTTACGGAACTTTTACAATCTAATTATAGTGATAGATTGATTTCCGGTCTCTAGGGTTTTTAGGAGAATGGATTTGGGCTTTTGTTAGTTTGAATGAAAATGGATTGTTACCATGATTCAACCCATAATGCACTAATTTTTTATATATATATTTTTGTATTTTCCACCTAAAATTTGTTTAATTTTCCAATAACCTTATATTTTAATTTATCTAAACCCAGATTTAAAAGTGTATTGAGATTTGAATAAGTGGGATTCTATTTATTAATTCCTTTTAATTAATACAAAATACTTTTCAAACCAGCTTTTATAAATAGCTTAAAAAGTTAAGTTTATAGAAAAATATTAAAATATCATTTAATATTATTTAACTTATCTATTATTTTTAACCTCATGTTTAAAATGAATATTCCGATTTTTTTAGTACATTTTGACAATATTATCTAACCCTTAAAATTAACAGAAAATGTGAATAAATAGGTTTTTTTTGGTACACTATATGAAAAGCAAACAATCTGTCGTCTCAACTCGCCCACTCCATCCCTATCAGCTCCCAACAAAGCAAGAAGTTCAGTTGGAGCCACTTGCAAAATGGAGATGTCTTCTTCTTGAAGTAGAGCAAGTTTCACCAACTTATCAGCACATTTATTGCCCTCACGCCAAATATGTCTTACTTCTACCACCCAACCTTCCTTAAGGATGTTTATGCAATCATTAACCAGAACGTTTTCTGAGAGATCCTCCATCCTTTCCCCATTAAAAAGCTCCACAACCCATTTTGCATCCATCTTTAGGATCAATTTGCTTAAGCCAAGATTTTTTGCTAGTTTAAGACCCTGTCGAGCCCCCCAAATTTCAGCAATCGAACTATTCACCTTCCCTAAACGCAACATGAACCCACTTCTCCAGTCACCATTACTGTCTCGGATCAGCCCTCTTGCAGCAACCAGAGCTGTATTTGTTTTATAAACACCATCTGTGTTTAAAATTCAACCTCCCTCAGGCGTTTTTTTCCATTGTACCCAACATAGGTAAAAATATTTTATTTTATAAAGTTACAATCAAGCACCTCAATTAATTGATTGTAGCTATCAATTTACCCAATTAATTAATTATAACAATCATGTCAGGAGATATCACACCGACTGTTGTTATTTATCAAATACGATGATCGTTGAACCTCAATTTTCAACATAAGATTCACCTCAATTTTTCGTTCAATTCACCCGATTAGATTAATGAGAATCTCTCTCAATAGTCATAAAATCACTCAAAAACTTTTAAACTTATTGAACTTTGGTCTACGAGGTACATCATCATATGGTCTCTATGTCTAGATATGTTTTTCAACCCACCAACGACGACATATCCAACGTTCGGATCGATAAATGAAGCTATCAATTTTGGAGAACCCTAAAACTCAAAATGAGTTTTCTTTCTGATTAATTGAATTACTCGTTAATGACCAATTTGAAAATGGGTGACATGTTTGCAATCTTTCTAATAATAAAGTAACTCATTTGAAATCTTAAATGACTTGTGGTGTAGTTTACCCAATAAGAAAATCATTAAAAATAGTTTCCTGCCTTCAAAAGATCGTTTCATTTACAGACCAATGGCATGTTTTTAATAATTTATTAATTAAATGATTGTTTATAATTTTTTAAAATCAAATAACTCATTTATAATCTTACCAATAATTAAGTGATATGTGATATAATTTACCTTAAATTAAATCAATAAACCAACATTAAAAAAAACAAAGGGTAAACTATAAGATTGACCATTTTCGTTTTAGTTTTATATATTTTTCCTTACTGAATTTAAAAAACATAATATTTGATCACTTTTATTTTTATTTCATTAAGTTGTGGTCATGTGGTTTTATTAATTAAGATGTTACCACTTACCTTATTGATTTTTAAATGTTTAGTCAGTGAAATTTTGAATGTCGTTAATGAGGAAATTAAATAAAAATGACCAAATTTTAATTAAATAAAAACAAAATTGATCAAATATTATATATTTTAAATTTAATGAAGAAAAAATACAAAGCTAAAATAAAAGTGATCAATCTTGTAGTTTATAAAAAATATATAAGATTTGAAACCTTGACCTCTCATCCATGAATTGAACATCATATCATTAATTCAAATATATATATATATATTTCTATTAATTAATTGTTATATTAATTAAAAATTATTTTTTGAATATATAATCATGATTTAATAATTACGTAATCCGACTAAACCGAATCAACGTCCAGATTGATTTTTTTTTATTCACTGGATATGGAAAAGACCAAATAACCCTTCGAACACCCTGCATCTCCCTTGTATAAATAAAGCTCCATTTCTCCTGGTAGAAACACATCCCTCAAGCTCTCTCTCCGTCGCTTCATCGTCGGATCCTCTCATATCGCATTCGCTTCGGCCGTAAGATTCAGTCCCCATATCTCTATTATTTTATCATTTTGAAAAAGAATATATTTTTACTTTCCATTTCTTGATCTTCGCAGGGATTTTAACAAACTCTCAAACAAACAAAAAATGAGGGAGATCCTTCACGTACAAGGCGGGCAATGCGGGAACCAGATTGGATCCAAGTTCTGGGAAGTGGTTTGCGATGAGCACGGCATGGATCCCACCGGTCGTTACATGGGAAACTCCGATCTCCAATTGGAGCGTGTCAATGTTTACTACAACGAGGCTTCCACTGGAAGGTATGTCCCGCGTGCCGTGCTCATGGATCTTGAGCCGGGGACCATGGATAGTGTTCGAACCGGTCCTTATGGACAGATCTTCAGGCCTGATAATTTTGTGTTCGGCCAATCGGGAGCTGGTAATAATTGGGCTAAGGGGCATTACACCGAAGGAGCTGAGCTTATTGATGCTGTTCTTGATGTTGTCAGAAAGGAAGCAGAGAATTGTGACTGCCTCCAAGGTATAATTGTTCTTGATGTTGGTGATTTAATGTTTCTCAGTTATCCGTTTGATTATATAAAAAATATAAATTGGATTAGTATTGTTAGCAAACTCAAATTCATTTATTGATGGTTCTAAACATATTTGGCAATGGATAATGTAATAATGCATACGAAAATGGCCTGGTAGATCTTGGTCTTTAAAGAAAAATTTTAAACGTAAAGGTTCTTTTCTTTTTAGTAATTACGTTGTTTGTTTCCTATTTCTTTAATTTTTGGCTTTTGGGGTTCTTTTAATTATGAATTTTATTTGTTCGTCCAAATAGGTTTTCAAGTTTGCCACTCTCTCGGAGGGGGAACTGGTTCCGGTATGGGTACTCTGTTGATCTCCAAGATCAGAGAAGAATACCCTGATAGAATGATGCTCACTTTCTCCGTCTTTCCATCACCAAAGGTTTCGGATACGGTGGTTGAGCCATATAATGCTACTCTTTCTGTTCATCAGCTTGTCGAAAATGCGGATGAGTGCATGGTGTTGGATAACGAGGCATTGTATGATATCTGTTTCAGGACCCTCAAGCTAACGACCCCTAGCTGTAAGTTTCTATTATCTGACTTCATCTTAGTACCACAAGGTTTTTGCTGAAGTAATCTTTTATTGTTGGTTGTAACAGTTGGTGATTTGAACCATCTGATCTCTGCAACCATGAGTGGTGTCACATGCTGCCTTAGGTTCCCTGGCCAGCTCAACTCTGACCTCCGGAAACTCGCTGTGAACCTCATTCCTTTCCCTAGGCTCCACTTCTTTATGGTCGGTTTTGCTCCTCTCACCTCACGGGGATCTCAGCAGTATCGTGCCCTAACGGTCCCAGAGCTCACTCAACAGATGTGGGATGCAAAGAACATGATGTGTGCTGCAGACCCAAGACACGGTCGCTACCTCACAGCCTCAGCCATGTTCAGGGGCAAGATGAGCACCAAAGAGGTGGATGAGCAAATGAATAATGTTCAAAACAAGAACTCATCGTACTTTGTCGAGTGGATTCCAAACAATGTCAAGTCCAGTGTCTGTGATATTCCGCCCCAGGGCCTGTCCATGGCATCTACCTTCGTCGGCAACTCAACCTCCATCCAGGAGATGTTCAGACGAGTGAGCGAGCAATTCACCGCTATGTTCAGGAGGAAGGCTTTCTTGCACTGGTACACTGGTGAAGGAATGGATGAAATGGAGTTCACCGAGGCCGAGAGCAACATGAATGACCTTGTATCTGAATATCAACAATACCAGGATGCAGCAGCCGACGAGGAACTTGAATACGAGGATGAAGACGATGAAGGCTATGAGATGTGAGAGATCTAGAAGGATGTATGTTACTACTTAAATATGAGGAAAGCTCGTCTGTATTACTGTTCATGTTGGCATTCCAGCCTTGTTGATCTATTCGTTTTCAATAATGAAGATTGGTAGTATTGGATTTATCTGTTTGTTTCTTGGTATCGGTTAACTAGTTGCTATTGATTTTTCTTTCATATATGTCATGTTATCTTTCGTGAAATAAGTGGACAAAATGATTGATTATACAATTCTTCATATATGAAATTGAAAAACAAAATGTACGACATTGATGAATTTGATATAGTGGATGTATCAGATAAGCAATTAATCATTTTTAAAATATACCGTTTTAATTAAATATTTATTTTTCAAACCTCTAAAAGGTACGATTAATCAAATACATCTTTAAATAAAATTTATTTTTTTCTAATATTTACTGATCAGGATGTCATGTAAGACATAACTTTTCAAATGTATCTCTCAAAATAGTGTTTTTGTTCTATATAATACGAATGGATGTCATTTCGGTAACTAATACTGAAAGAATGTTATTTATATAAATAATTTTTAAAAATTATATAAATAGCAAATTACAAATTTACTCATTGAACTTTATTATTTTTTTATTTCACTTGATGTACTTCAAATTTTTTTCAATTTAATCATTGAACTTTATACAATGATTTTTCCCTTCATTTTCTTTTCTTTTCTTTCTTTCTTCTTCTTCTTCCTCCCCTTCTCTATATTTCTCTCTTCAACCTCAATTAACCCAGATTTCGACCACCACATCGGTACCATTCTGTCCACCTTAAAGCTAGCATGACCTCCTTCATCTAGTTGACACAACACATCTAAGAGGTTAAGACACCACCAGGCATGATTTTCATTTCCAATCGAAAGCTTGTAATAATGTTACATCATCATTCTTGACACATAAAACTTATCACGTCAATGACAAATATTAACCGTTATTCAAATAACAAATTTTCTCTAATCAAGAATTATTTTATCTTAAAACAAAACGTTGAGGACAAAATACTCCAAGAAAAAAGAAGATAAAATGATTATTCAATTGAACGTCGACAAATTGTTTTTTGACATTATGCCAAATGCAAAATGAGACGAGCAGGATACCTTTTCTTTCCAATTTTCTAACCATAACCAACATTCTTCAGTTTAATAATAAAAAACATTATTCTAAAAGATTACCAAACAATAAAATAAGAATTACCATGCAAACCCCATCTCAGATATCTTTAAATAAATGTACACATTTCAAAGTCTATTCATACAATTCATAGTACAATATTGTTTTTATCCGATAAAATGTGAGACAAGACGCGATGCATACGTTGAGAATACAGCGACTTTTTTCGACTGGAATACATACCTACAAAGGAAGGGCAAAAGGCGCCCTACACTCAAATATTAATTAGTCTGCCGTCTATCTAATCCAATATGGCATTTGCTGTTAGTAGTTTTGTATCCAAGAGTCGATGGATATATTCTCTACGGATTCACTCTTCACTGTATAGTCTTGCTATACGCATCTACGGGATTCTTCTCGTATATGCTTCTCTACTTTTGTGCATTAGTATCACATCAAAACGTTAAAACGAAAGCCATCCGAATGGAATCTGAGAAAGATTAGTTCATATAGCATGGTTACTCCTTTTCTGAGTTCTGAGATTGCTTACCTTTATTCCCTACAGCTCATGCCCGCAATAAAAACTGCAAAAACATAAATAAGTTTCAAATATGGGATAGAACAACTGAGGCTGATTAGAAACCTTTCGAGACTTCTGTTTTAATGCTGTCTGATGGGGGAACATTTTGACTGTCATGGGAATGAGCAGGCAAGGAAACAGAAGCACCAACCAATAGGCCGCAGTGGTGATGATGAATGCCATCTTTCTTGAAGTCTGGAAGTTGCAAGTTCACCAACCTTCTCCTTTGCAGTTCAATAGAATGCTGGAGATCAGCTTGCTCTTCAAGTTCCCTTCTCAACATCATCTCAGGAGCATTGTAGAACATCTTTGCCCCTGCATGTAAAGAGAAAAGGGGGGGAAAATCAGAGAAACAGCCACCTGAAGCATTCTGTTTCCCGTCTTTCGATTTCATGAAAGAAAGAAAAAAAATGTGTCGACAACCCTACAAAAAACTATTCTTGTTTGCTTACCAACATGAGGGTCATATGGCTCTCTAGAGTCAAGCCCTGAAGGACTTGAACATGAAGAAAAGTTCACCTTCTCTAACTTTTGTTGCAGGTATTGCCTCCCGCAATTGCTCCAATATCAGTTATAAATTCATTGCATGATGATGGCCAGAAGTAAGAAAAATTACGAATAAGAGAAAATGCCTTACTTGTCAGGAACTTTTCCCTTCTCCTTATCGATTTTAACAAGTACACGTGAATCACAAATGTAATGGGGGTTTCCTCTGGCCAAAATGTGCTTCACAGTCACTGGATGAAAAATGTTACAAAACCAAACATTCGCTTGTGCTGATATGGAATCCTCACATCTTGCACTGGTCCAAACAGGCTTTAAAAGATACAATTGAACTAAAGTAAGTTCACAAAATTAATACTTTTAAAGAAATTTATAAGCCTTAGTTCAGAAAAAAGAAAACCCCTTTAGCAGCCCTTTTAGAAATTTGCATCAAAATTTACAACAGCAACATACATTTAGATGGAAGTTTTAGCTAGACATGGGTGAATATATAAACAGGGTTCCCAATATTCTCAATTCACTAGGAGTTTCAAATATGTGTCTAGGTATAGCAATACGACGTCTAAGGTCAGCATTTGGATTCAAATAAATTGTCAACTCTGCTTCTTCTACAAGCATGCGTATCCAGCAATAATCAATCTCTAGGCGCCGAAACACTAATTTTCCCTATTCACCACCACCAGGCTTATATCATACAGCTTAGTTGCAAGCTTGACCACGTTAACAAATATCCCGTAAGCCCTAAACATCACCCTTCTCATGGAAAAACAGATTTTTTTATCCTAAACAATTGAGTCTATAAGATATATATACGTTATCAATTGTTAAAAAAATACTATAAACAGATATTATATATTATAATCACCCTATACTTTTTTTTAATTTTATCTGTAAATTTGAAACAAGTAATTGTTCTTCAATTGTGGTAGAAATCAAGGAGCAGCAAATTTGATTAACCAAAAACAATTACTTGCAGCGGTAAAGGAAAACAGAACAGTGATGATATGATTGATTTATTTTTATAATTTTATTTTGTTTATTGATTCGGAAATTATGGTTTCTGGTTTAACAAATGCAAACCCTACTGTGTACGAGAAGAAAGAGCGGCAGGTTCGTATCGTAGCTACTGTGCAAGCTATTGTTATCCTCTCTGGGGCTGTAATCGAGTAAAATCGAACTCAATCTAACTTGAAAAGTCTAAAATCGAATTTTACTCGCCTTAAAAATTTATTAGTTTAAAATTGTCAAGCTCGAATCTAATTTGAAATAAAAAGTTTAACTCAAACTTAAAAAAATTGAAATCAAAACATTCTCAGACTTTGTTCGAACTCGAACTCGAACTGAAACTTTAAGTATATGAAAACTTTATATTATATTTTAAAAAAAGTAACATATAAATGTTACTATTATTAATAATTTAATTTAAAGAATTATAAATTTAATATATTATTTTTTTCGAGTTGGGTATCAAGTAACTCGCTTCGGCTCGTTTAGAACTCGAGCTCAAATCGAATCCAATCGACTCAAGTCTTGACCGGGCTTTGACCGAATCAAATTTGAGTAGCTCGCGATTTGTCTCGTCTTATTTTCAATTCTAATTATGTATTAAAAAATTGCAGCTATTGGGTAATATTTTCGGATTTTATGGTGCATGTTTTTTAGATTTTCTTTGTACTCTTAAATCATATTAGAGATATAAAGGATCCTGAACATCCCTACACTTTAGAAGTGCTTAAAGTAACTGAAGATGCTATTGAAGTAGACAATGAGCGAAGTTACATTAGGTACGATGCTCAAATTATCTCTTATTCATATGCTTCTCACTCATTTTCTGTTAAGCAAATGGGTTTCTTATTGATTTTTCCCTTATTCAGGGTCACATTTAATACTTATAATATATTGTATAGTTATATTTTATTCTTGGTACAGAAGTTAGGGCTATTTTATATTTTTTTCTTGTATATATATAGAGAGAGATTAAGTTTTCTTGGTAAACAAACAAGTTAATTTTCCATTATTCCTTGTTATTTTAAACAAGAAAACCAAAGACAAAATGGAACTTGACTCATAACAAGGGTTTGATACATATTCTGACATGGGTATATGATGGTATGAGCCTCCAAGTATATGAAATACTTTAAAAAGACAAGCTTGTCAATGTTAGACATGTATCATCATCTAAGATTCACTTTAGCCTGGTAACTAGGCTCATAGCAAATGGAGTAATGAAAACAAATCGAGAAGCCAATTGAAGACCATTCCTTGTTGAACATTTGATTTTATCACAAGCAGTAAAGCAAATAAATAAAAGCTTCTCATTTCGATGCAACATTGTGATTACAAAGGAAAGTTGCATATCATACAAAAGTTGTCACTCATAGAAACATAAAACAAAATAAGTGAAAAGGGAATTCTTTTATGGGCCTGCACAGTGTTCCATTTAAATTTGCCTTTGCTACCTGCTAAGTTTCTATTTATAAACACAAGATTACTTGAATTACTCAATATTTCAAAGTAGTCGTTATGAAGCACCTAAATCAAGTTTCCTCACATTTTCAAATATAATTTCTTTGTTTACATGGATACATTGGTTGTTGCCACAGATGTCATGCATGCCTGAATAATTTCATGCTAAGCCAATGGAAATATACAGCAACCACAAATACGGGAAGTGTTAAGGGTACCAAGTAACAGTAATACCTGCTAAAGAAAAGGAAGCAAAAATCAAGAAAAATATATAGGGACTGCAATATTCTGATAACATTAATATTAGAAAGGTAGCTGCAAAACTTTTAGTCTAAAAAGAATGAAAGAAAAGCCCTTATAACATGTTTCAAATTGCATCCAATTACAAAGCTTATTTATTTTGCCTTGGTAGGCTAAAAAGAATGAAGACTGCATGTTGAATAATTACATAAGCATTGTAGTCAATATGTATTGACACATTTAAACACGATTAACACGGAACGTGTTATACATTTGTTATATTCAAGTTTAAGGTTTTGACAAATTTGGGTTGTATTAATTTTTACATGGATGGCAAAGGGGAAAACAAGAAACACAACACGCATATTGTCCAACAACACATATTTGCTTTGTCACAATTATATGCCTAGCAGGTTGGGGCACTAGCAACAGGAATGGCCAACTATATATTGACCAAAATCACTTTGACAACATAACATTAGCAATGCATGCATCCAATAACCCTGACTATAGGTGTAAATAAGACACTTTTATTTGCAAGCTACTCAAGTTCATAAAAAAAAAAGAAGGGAAAACCCCCCTAAAATTCAATCATTAATCACTGTTGAGTTTTTCTTTTTATTTATAATATTTTTAACAATTCAAATGTTAATTTACTATTTTACACTAAATTAAGAACCCTGAAACCTATTTTTTTATTCTCTCTCTCTCAGCTCTCAACCGCATAGTTTCACTACATCATAGCTACTTTCATCATTGATCTAATGGGATTCTATCTTTTGTCTCATAGGATAGGTGCAAAATTTAACATTCTTCCTTGTAGCATTAACAAAAACAAAGCACTGAAAGAGACTTATCTCTCAGCCACACGCCCATGCCTTTTCTTTCTCTCCGTAGTCCCAGTCTCACACAAGGCTCTCTTCCTTTTCATCCAAAATAAAATCCCTATAGCACCTCGAACATGCTGGTTTGGCTCCTCAATTTTTTCTGGCTGAAATCTTCAATCGATTCACAAATTTCATCCTTGGTTCATTTCAACTAGCTGCATACTCTCTCCATTTTTAGAGGTTTTACGGTTATTTGATCTGCTTGGTTGTTGGGTTTACCTGTGCACTCCTGGTAAATATTATCTTATACTACAATTTCAGTCTTTTGCTTTCCTTCCTATTCCAGTTTTGGTGGCTACTTAAACTGCAAATATTTGTTGAGGATCATATCTACTCTAAATTTAAAAAATTTGTATATGAAATGAATTCAAGCTCAAGTATGTAAATAAAGTAAACAAACCTAATTGAGCCGAGCTCAATAGTTCTGTTTTACAATTTAGCAGAGTTGGAGCTTAGAAAATGGTATTTGGTTGAGCTCGAGTTGACTATTATTTGAGGTTGAATCCTGAAGTTGCTATTTAGTAGAGATGGCAGCTGTTCAGATATTGCTATCTTTTAGCAGAATTCGAATCAGACTAATTTGAATGATAAATAAATCCAGTTGTTATACACTTAATATTTGAATATTACTATCCAAATCTGGATTAAATACTAAACAAACTGATCTCTCAAATGTATCAGATTACACTAATTATCAAGTAAAAAGGGAAAAAAAGTTCTACTGTCGAGCAATTTCTTTTTTCAATTAACATAATCCAAACAGAACCTTAACTCACGGCAGTCTTAGAAAACAGTGAACATCAGTAACTAAAAAAAATACGCCAAAATTGAAGAACATAAAAACCACATATCGAAATTACCTGTCGTTTTGGATGACAGCAATCAGGTGATAATTTGACGGCGGAAGAAGCTTCGAGATAAAAGCGGTGAAGAGGAATCCGAGCAATATAAGGGACCCGATTCCCACCAACAACCACCCCGCCATCGTCGTTTTTGACCTACTATTGCCATCCTCGGATATCACCATTGATAATTCGATTAACGTATTTTCAGATCTGAGAAAGAGAGCAGATTCCGAAACGTATGAATGGTTAAAATCCGGGTCGAGACCCGGAATGAGGAGGAAGTGCCAAAATCATAGTTTTTTTTCTTTTCCTTTTTAAATTAAAAGGTATCATCTTTTATCAAAATCTTTGTAAAAAAAACAGTAAACAGTTCATTTTAAGATTTAAATTATTTATTATTTATTTAATGTTTAAAATTTATACAACTTAAAATTTGTAGTAAAATCAATAAAATTTATTTAAAAACTTAAAATCGACATCAACTTGAAGTTTGAATATTGGAATTCAAATTGAAGTTGTTCATATTTAGTACTGATCTAAAATAAATAAAAAATTGAAATAATAAAGTTGACTTAATTAAGTTTAATTTAGATTTTTTTCCTAGTAAAATCTTAATACTCGTAATCGAGTTTAAACAAGTGTATTAAGCCATGGAACATAAAGACATTCTTTTAGTTTCGGCTTAACAATTGCTTCATTCTTTCATAACTGCCAACTGTGGTTAAATAACTAATTTTTTGATGTCATTATGCAAGTGTGAGTTATTTTTAGATTAATACAAACATAAAAAATGAATTATGTTATATTTTTGGAAATTAATCTTTGAAAACTATAATTTTCTTGTTAGTTAAGATTTTTGGATAGGCCTGTTTATCAGAGTTTCCAAAGAGTATGTATTCTCTGTATAAAGACTTTCGAGTCAATTACAAGGCATAGACAATACTTTATATATGACCTACTAGAGCAAAAGTCAAGTTCTGACTACTCGATCTATTTAGCTCGTTAGTCTACAAATATTCATAATTGTCCTATACTTGATAAGGATATCAAACCTTCAACAACATATACATAACCTTTTTCTTCTTCTTCCTTTATGACCAACCGTCTCTCATAGTAAAATACTAGACCAATGGTCATTCTGACACTAATTGTGACTCTTTGTCCAAATCAAAAAGGGATG